GTGTGTGTGTGTGTGTGTGTGTGTGTGTGTGTGTGTGTGTGTGTGTGAGCATGTTGGGGCGATTCACACAGTTGAACACATCAAGTTCATCCACAGTCCAGCTCATCTCCAACTGTTGCCCGCCTCACACTGCAAGTGTTCCATATCCTGCCCAAGAATGCACATAGCATACCTTTAAGGAGTGCATTTATCCTCATGGCTGAGTCTGTGACTGGCTGTGGCATCTACTTCTTTAGTGTGTGTGAATGCTGGTTGTGTCTTTTCTTATTTCAACAAAATATGAGGCCACTTCACATCTTATCAGCCAGATTGCTTGATTAAATCTGATGAGCTGTCTTGACTTCTTTTAGCATTGTGTGTGTGTGTGTGTGTGTGTGTGTGTGTGGTCTCACCTTTCTGGCTAAGGCCTTTTTTTTAGGTTGATTTTCTACTTTGGAGCCACACTAATAATGTTGTGCATGTATTTGAATCAGTTTCCCACAGAGCATCTACGCTCCGACCAACGTGTTTCTTCTTTTACTTCCTCGCTTGAGTGCCACTGTGTGTACGCCTCCTCCCAAATCCTTCTGTTATTTCCCCACTTCATGTTCTTCAGCTGCGACGCAAGACGGACCATCTTCCCCTTCCTAATCTGCGTTTCTCACAACAGAGCCCTAGTTAGTCAGTCAACCGGCCAACACAGCCTATCCCCATCACCGGAGTATGACCAATAAACAACCTCCTACCAGACGTACGTCTTTCTTTCTTATCCCTCTCTCTTCCTTATCTCATCATCTGGGAAAGTGATCCTAGCAACCATCTTCCCCCACTAGGCACAGATAAAAATCTGGGGCCCGGGGAGCTGTCACTCCTCAGTTGATGTGTGAATGACTGCGCTACCTCGTAAAGTGCACACGCATGGCTGAGGATGTATGGCTCTCATTTTATTACATTCACCCCTCTGTCTCTTCTGTTTGTGCAGAAAAATGGGGGCTGCTGATTGAAGGGAAAACAGGGTTACAGGAGGAGGAATGGGGTGTCTTTGTGCTGAGTGTGAATATTATGACGTCTCGGCTCTTTTCATTGCTGTTACTTTCCCAAAACAACTACCTCCTCCGAGAGAATGCAGTCTGAGGCCACCCCAGATGTTTCCCTCGGGGGAATAAAGGTGCAACTTTAATTAGGCGAAGCTGCACTTAACTTCTGTTGATTTTTGTTGTTACTCTAATGGCAAACAAGAAGTTTTTTACACTTTAATTAACCATTTTTAGAGTGCCTCATGTTAGAGCCGACATTTTTCCCCGTCACGCTCCGTGTCTTTGTCCCTGACAGGTGAGGTTGTGCAGTCGTGTGCTCGGGGTTGCCTCAACACTGGTGGGCTCCGACCTCCTCTGTTCTGTCCCCCTGACAGCCAGCAGTGCCATGTTTTGGAAAGAGCCCTTACGATAAATAGCATTCCAGGTTTTGTGTGCTACGCGAAAGGTTATGTTGTCTTTATTGCCTTGACAGACGCCTACGGTCTTCTGTAAACAAAATAGAGTTGTCTGTGTGAGGCAGCAGGTGGACCAATTTGTCATCCAGTCCGTCTCTCTTTCTCTTTCACTATCACACATGTCTGCTCATGGAAACACTTACTGTACAATGCACTCGTCTTTAAAGGTGGATTTAGCTTTTTTTTCTTCTTTCCAGCAAGAGATTTGGTTTATGTGGAGTTAAACACATCAAATGCATCAAACAGAGTTTTATTTGACCCTCGCCAGTTTTCACTCAAACCATATGTCTTCCGCTGGCATTTGTATCACATTGTTAGACTTATCCAAACACAGTTGAGTGTGTGTGTGTGTGTGTGTGTGTGTGTGTGTGTGTGTGTGTGTGTG